ATATATATATATATATATATATATATATATATATATATATATATATAAGACGCTGTTTTTGTATGACTGTTCAAGTGTTGTCGTTAGAGAGAGTAAATGTCATGAATAAATTTGACATTAAACATAATCCAAGTTGAAGTGTTACATCATTTTCAGCTCCTTTTTGTCATCTGCATTTGGTAGCAGGCCAAACTGACTAAGACCATGCAGAATAATGTCGTATTTTAATTCCACAGCAGTGAAAGTTATGTAGTCAGTAGGTCTACAAATAAAATATATCGGTATCGGTATCAGTTATCGGCCACTTAAGTTTTAACATACTGGCATATCGGTCAAAAATCCAATATCGTGCATCCCTAGTTTTAGTCTTTTTCTCGTTTTTACTGATTCTGAGAGACTCAAATAATAAAGTTTTCCTCTAACTAAAGGCGCACTCCAGTTATTTTGGGACTGGTTCTAAATCTTGTAAAAAAAAAATTTAAAAAAACTGGGGGTGGGTGTAAAGAGATGGCACGAGGGAGCGGTTGCTATTCATGAAATATAACGGTGTTTTGAGCTGCAAATAAAGCGGTGTTTGTTAGGACGCTGGTACAGAACAAAAACATCAGGAGTTTGTGCAGAGGCTGTCTATTCAGTAACCACAAAAGAAGGGAAGGGGGTTGGAAGGATGAGCATAGTTATACAGAAGACTTACCCCTTGTTTCAATTAAAGAATAAAATTTAAACAACAAAAATGTTGTTGTGTGTAAAATAAAGATAGAGCTTTCCAGTTTTCGTGTGTTTTTTAATGGATGTCATTTTGTACAAGATGGAGCTTCTCCAAGACATAATCATAAAGTCTGCATCGCATGCATTAGTGTAAGGTCTAATTACCTGAATACATATTAAATGGAGTGTTTTGCAAAGTACCTACAATTGCCCAGTGTGTGGCTGCCTTTATTGGAGAAACAAACTGAAGCAACAGCAAAAAAGTTTTAACTCTTAAATGTATTTTGGTATCAACATTTTTTTTTTTTATTGGATCCAATACCTACATGAACTGTTACATCTTTTAATTTGGAGCATGTCAGAGCTTTGAGTTTTCCTCACAAGTCGGCATAAACTTAAAAACTTGGCATGTTAACTGATGTCACGGCAAAAACAAAAAAACAAATTAATTAATATACACTTTGTTCAATTTATATTTGATTCTCTAGCTGTAATTCTGTTTCCTTAAAAGAGCTCAGACCATTTGTATAAAACGAATCTACACAAGATGAACTTGTGTGAATTGTGTAATGCACAACAGCATTAACGAGCAGCCAGTTAACAGAGAAAAAGACATTCTTGGCTTCGTAACAGCGGGGCTCTCAATCAGAGAACAGGCAATTATTACAAACAAACCACAGGGTTTGACTGAGCTATGCTGCTTTATGCATGAACAGTTAGATAAGAATCCAAAAATCAGATCAGCAACTAAAATTACTCTGAAATATTCTTCCACTAAGAAAAACATTTTTTCCCTGTAATGAGTACTTTAAAACAAATATTTTTTATCTGATGTAAGGACCTATCACAAGATTACCCAGAAACTAAGAATAAGCTAGGATTGTTTGTGCTGATAGGCAATACTTTTGAAAAACAACCCTTTTAAGTAGGCATACAACAGATAAAAATGGCCAAATTTTGACAAGTAGTTTACGATGTGGTAGGAGTTAAACTGTGAGAAAGAAGCTGATGAGAAGCAAACGACTAAAACAACTTGTTTCAGATGAAACGGCAATAAATGGGAGAACGGTGTCGTGTTGTGCAAATAAACAACCAAATAAAGCTGCAAATAGCATAGATGGTTGTAGATATACAATTGGAAAAAAGACACTATGGGTGCAAAAAAAAAAAAAAAGACTGAGGAAGGGAAATGATGGTGTCAAGCGAGAGTTGTCTGGTTAATAGTAAGAATTATCAATGTGTGAATTTCTGCTGCGTGTTCCGATTTGCTCTGATGTCTTGGTGTGAGCATCTATGATTCCAAAGGTAACAGGAAAATTGGGACCGAAAAACTCTCATCAGCAGCAGCAGCAGCGTCGCACTGAAGGTTCTTTATAACACTAAGTGCTTCCGTGAGGAAGAAATCAGGTCAGTGAACACAGCAGTAGCTCTTTAACCCAGTTTTTAGTGCATCTCCTAGTCTCTCCATCTTCTGTTGGTCTATATGCATTGAATACACCAATACACATTTTTTAACTTCCGATCCAATCCCAATACCTAAATCTTGATATCGGCCGATATCATCATCATTATTGATTTTTATGAGCCTGTAATATTGTCCTCTCTATAGGCAAGTACAATATGTACAAATATATGTATGTCCAAAAATATTTTTGGTATAAGTGATTTTCTATGTATGTGTATTTAGAGGGAAAAACGCTTATTTCAAATGCCAGTATATTATTAAATACCGTATTGTCCGGCGTATTAGTAGCATCAGTCAAAAAAAAGCATCCTGAAGAGGAAAAAAAAACATATAATATATAAGTCGCTTTGGAGTATAAGTTGCGTTTGTTATACGTCACCGCTGACCCCCAGGAAACATGAGACGATTTTTGGCACAACACCGGCGGAGGAACGCTGGAGCCATTAGCTCTCCAGCGTTCCTCCGCCTGCACCGAGTGAAGCGAGAACGCACGGGAGGACTCGCTGTTGCAGTTCTTCGAAATTTAACAAGATTAACCCTTGAAAACAATTATTTGTTTGCTCGATATTATAGCAAAGTTTGTCTCAGTTTAACTTTTTCTTCAATGATCGAAGTTTGGCCGGGGGCGGTGGGGTTGGCAGTACAGGAACAACATATACGCCTACCAGTAGTTGTCAAAAGCCTAGAAGGCCCTCTTGTGCCTCTAGCAGCTGCAAATGGTAATGTTTCCTCTGGTTCATGTCAGTATGAATGAACATTTAAAGCGTCAGTCAAAAATGGCGTTATGAATATGGAAAAGAAAAATGTATACAAGTCGCTTCGGCGTACAAGCAGGATCTAAATCTATGCAAAAAACTGCAACTTATATGCCAGAAAATACGGTATATACAAGCCTTTTGTATGTAGCATTGATGTGAAGCAAGTGTTGCATTTACATTAATGTTTAAATTAGACAACTACAACCACTAATTGCTCACCGCCTCTTGGATTTGGCAGCGAAACACGTGAATCCTGAAGATCTCAGAGTTGTAGTGGCTCTCAGTGAAGGCGAAGCAGTCGCTCTCTGGTGTGCCGTCATGGCCTCGAACGCAGAACAGAATCTTATAGATAGGATAATTGGCAATTTCTGTGTTGTTGTGGGGATCCAACAACCTGTTAACATATCAATAAATTTATCTTAATAATGACAATCGTGGTTTAAAAAAAAAAAAAAACTGTGCAGAACTTCCAGTACGATTGGCTTATACTGACCTGACCGTGCCTTCAGAAACACCTGGCACCGAAAGTGTGACATCGAGGGGGAGTTGGCACTGCCCTCTGAGAATACTCATCATACGAAGGGCCTCCACCTCGCTCCGGGGGGCATTGACGGAGGCACACCCAAGATACGTCAGCTGGCTGAACACAACGCTGTCTTCGTCTGGAATGGGACTGCAGGGACTCCCTTCTGAGGACGATTCATCTCCTTCAAAGTTGAGATGAAAACGAAGGAAAAAGAAAGAGAAACTTTGATTTTATGGTTCTTAATTCTCACAGCTATTCGAGTAAAAACATTAAACTGATCCGAATGTCTTGATACTTTGCTTCTAATGTGCCAGACTTTGTGCTGATCCTTTGAACTGGTCTTAATCTACAGTTTTACAGGTTTTCTCAAAGTCTTTTAAAATGTTTCATTTTAAGTTTGGCTGCTTTTTCCTCTTCTTTTTTGTTCAGTCCTTATATCTGACCTTAACGTCATATCATACAGTATGTGTTTAAATAAATGATGAAAATGGACTCAAGAAGGACAAAAAAAAAAGCGATGAACACAAAAAGCATCTAAAGCAGATGAACAGTATCTAAAATTCATGACATTAAGAAACAGGAAAAATCCAGTAAAGATCAGACAAAAGACAAGAAAGATGCTTCATCCTTCATTTGATCATCTATATGTTAAGTTTTCAGCTACTAGGGCTTTTGGAGTTACGTTGTTCAAGCCAAAATATTATTTTTGGCGAGTCAAACTATCATCTTTGTGAAATTTATAACTTAGCAAAAAAAAAATGGGATTAAATTGTCATTCTTTGAGTCTGCAAGTAAATAAGTCACTAAAGATCCTATTTAAAATGTGTCCTTTTCCAAGATGTGTTAGGTATCAACACATCAGTGCTTCCTTTTTTTTAATTTATTAACCTTTTTATACCTCTATGATTTATGGATAAAGCAGCTTAACAGAATATTTTTTCTAAAAATGGTCAAATAATGGAGGAAAAAAGTGGAAAAAGCAGTTAATGCCTAAATAAAAAACTTGCAAAATGCAAAACTTTCAGAAAGCCTGAAAAAGTATTGATCAAGTGCACTTCTAATAATTTAAATACTGCTTAGTGAAAAACATAAAAATGAGGGATTACTTAAGACTTTTAAACAGAAATATATACCAACTTAATCAGAAAGAAATGCACAAAAACAGAAAGTGAATGAAAAAAGGAACAAGCATCTCAGTCCACTACCGCAAAACTAGAAAAGAGGAAAAAACTCATCTAGAAACACTGATGGCTTGCAGCATATTATTTAAATAATCTGACAACTTGGATAGAACTGCCCACTAGGCCTGTCACGATAACAAGTTTTGCTGGGCGATTAATTGTCTCAGAAATTATTGCGATAAAAGATAATATTGTTTGAAATTTGACAATAATTTGTAATTATTGTCAAATTAAAGAAGAAATGTTTAATTTGTTTTGAATGTAGTACCTTTTTTGACCACTGGATGGCAGTATAAGACTGTTTGAACTGAAGGATGGATAGTGAGGGAGTGAGAAGCGTGTCTATAAGAAAAATGGGAGGGAGGCCCACTGACGTGACAAGGGTTTTCTCTTGTTCCCGTTTTTTGGTTCTCAAAATGGCGGACGCTCGGTGTGGTTTGAGCTCTTTAGCATAACATTTTTCACACAAAGTTTTTAATTAAAAAAAAAAATCAATAAACAAGTTCTCAGCTTCTTTTTGCAGAGAAAAACAACTTTTTACACGAAGGCACAGGTTTCAACCGTGAATTTTGGAGCTTTGAGAAGAGGTTTTTTTCCCCGAGGTCGGCCTGTTAGCTTAGCTCCTAGCTTAGCTTCTCAGCTTAGATGCTTTTAACGATCCAAAAACGGTTAAAACAGATTTTAAAGAGAAAAGAGAAAGAGAGGGGTCAGTGATAAGCTCTGGAGTTGAGCCTTGTCATCCAGTGTTCAGTAGACAGAGAGACATGGAAAAAACAAAGCCGATAAATGAAAATGAGGTTGATAATTCTCATTTATCATGTGATTAACTGATTTGTTTATCACGACAGGCCTACTGCCCATATAACAATCAATAACAAACAGGATGTCATATTTAAGAAGAAAATAAAATAAAATGAGAAGTAGGATGAGAATGAGATAAGCCGTCTCACCTCTGTAAGACCTTTCATTCAGCTCACTCTCCTGACCCGTCTGAACAGGAAGCACCATCTCCAGTTTGGGTGGTGAGGCGCTCAAAGGGTCAGTGCCGGGTGGCACAGGTGATGGTGTGTTAGGAGGAAGACCATGGTTGCCCGCACCGAGAGCGCTCATTCCCGTTTCTGATCCGAGTCCAGTATCCGCCACCGACGGGTCCATGAGGACATCGGCTAATTCTCTCTGGAGCTGCTGCTCACTTCCATTCCCCACAATCTGACCCAGACATAAACAAATAACAAACATCACGTGTAATAACGCACAAGAAGATTTGTTTAAAAAGTCAGTGTGTAAGAATCATCATCAAATTTCTACTTTTCTATAAGTTTACCCCAAACGCATGAGAACTGTCCAACGGTCTTTGAAAATGTGAAGCGAATTACTCAGATTTCACAAGTCAGTGGCTAAAGTGTGTTGAAAAACGTTACGTGTGGGTTTAAAATATATTGTATGTAATATTAGTGATTTTTAGTAAAGTCAGTATATTAGTTTGTGGTGAAAAATAACACACTGAAGACGCAAAGGTAGAAAGATCTGTCGATAAACTAAATACCAAATTCACCAAGTGTGACAACATGAAAGTTTTATTCCTGCCTGCGTTCGCAGCAGCTAACAGTAGAGGGCACTACTGTACTGACCAACAATACAGTGTAAAAATACACAAGTAATACCTGTACCTTAGAGATCTATGCAACACTATTACAGCAGGACGTAATCTAAGAAAATTATTCTTTGTAAAGACTGATGCAAAGCTGCTGTGACGTTTCACACACGGAGTACTTTGCTGTCACTAAACAGTAGCAGTGTTGCTTTCATGTACAGGTGGAGCTACAAGCCTGGGCAGGTAACGGAAGTCTACAGTCTATATCTAAAAATGCCATCCTCTGCCTTTATTAAAACTCAAATAATACACAACCATCTCCTCACAAGAGGAGAAAAATATACAAGAAACAAGAATAATCACAAACAGAATCACATCACAGAGAGATCATTGTATATACAAGCAAAAGATAGTCTCTGAAGAAAAAAAAACAAAAACAGAAAAGGAAAAATAGCTTGAGAAGAGACTGACCTTAAAGCTGACCCCTTCCTCAGAAATCACCTGCATAACAAACAACAAGTTTAGACAAACCGACTCTTCTCCTGACTAAATCAGCTGACTGGGAGGAAAACGTGCACAAAAGTGAGTCTCCAAAATAAATAAACATGATAACAAGATAACCAAAAAGTCAATGAATGGAGTGATTTAACCTTCACACAATGAAAACAGTGAATGTGTCAGGTACTGGTTTTCATCTATCTGACAGCGAGCAGAAACAAAAGTTCAACTTTGTTCCTCATACAAACAAAACAGATCATTGAATTCTGTCTAACATTAATGTCCAACATCCGTTTATCAAATGGTTAGACAACGTCCTTGCTACTCTGGCGCCACCTGCTGGTAGTTTAACCACAGTAACACGTTTTTCTATACAAGTTAGTACCAGTGCAGTAATAACAGAAACTGAGTGAGTGATACAAGTGAGCTGCTTAATTTATTTTAGTAAAATAGAGGAGAGAAGTAATATTAACCCATTAGATTTGGCTGCACCTAGAGTCTTTATTCATTATGTAAAAAGCCACACCCTAGTTGCAAAATGCTGTTAAGTTTTTTTTACAAATCATTTAATGTGAGCTGACACGTTTAAAATCCACTGATTTCCTGAGAAAACACTCAGGAGAGCTGAAAATTCAACTGTGAAGGGGATACAGCAAACAGACCACAGTAAGAAATAAAAAAAATAATAGAATAGAAATTAATTCAAAAGATATCTGCAGTGGTGGGCACGGTTCCGCTAATCCGTTAATAGTAGAACTTTTTGTTTAACGGATTATGTTTTCGCTAATTTTGAATACCTTTAGTGGAAATAGCTTCCACTAAATTCAAATCCAGTAAATTCAAATCTGCATTTTTTTTTTTAAGACAGTTCTTCATTTAAACCGTATAGGAGATTTACAGAGAGCGATGCTAAGGTAAGCGCCTCCCGCTGACATCACCAACTTCACAGTGCCTTTTTCCTCCTCCTATCTACCGTAAAGTCTCTGACTCATGATGTCAGTTTACAGCCAATAACAAAGACTTTAAGATAATTGCCAAAACAAACCAGAACTGGAAAATAACATGAAAAATCCATTTTCACACTCAGAAACATCGTAAACAGGCAAAAACATTGCACACATAATTCCTACCTTGCATGCTCTGCGTCTCTGGGACATGACTCTCTCACATGTGATTTCACACATTTTTACTTTAATACAGATTTATTACAGAGAAAATATTGATAATGACTAAGCCTGTTGCGATTAACAATAAATCAATTAATCGCATGATAAATTAAAATTATCTACCTCATTTTCATTTACTGGATTTACCGTTTCTTTGTCTTTCTCTTTCTACTGAAGACACTGCTCAACTCTGGTGCTTTCACTGATCCCTCCCTTTTTCTTTTCTCTTTAAAATATGTTTTCATTGCCCAAAATCACATTTTTGGATCGTTAAAAGCAGCTAAGCTGAGAAGCTAAGCTACGACCTAAGCTAACAGGCTGACCTCAGGGAAAAAAACCTCCGTCTTATCAAAGCTCCAAAGCGCATCCGTCCCATTTTTCTTAAAAGAGACACGCTGCTCGCTCCCTCACTATCCATCCTTCGGTTCAAACAGTCTTATACTGCCATCTGGTGGTCGAAAAAAAGTACTACACGCAAAACAAATTAAGATAAGATAGAAAACATTTCTTCTTAAATTTGACAATTACTAATTTTTGTCTAATTTCAAACAATATTATCATTTATCGAAATAATTTGAGAATATTAATCACCAAGCAAAATTTGTTATCGTTACAGGCCTAATGATGACACACAGTAACTTTGTAGTTAGTTTATAAAAGTAGTTAACCACAAAAAGGATCTCCAAAATGAATTGATTAATTTTAACACGAGGGAGACGTCCGACACACATTGAATGCATCACTCTGCTTCAGCGCAGCAGAGTTCTGCTCCGCCTCTTTGGTTCTGATGGACCGGATTAATTTCTGAAAACTCAACTCTGACGGGGATATGGATGCTTTACTTGTGACTCACAAGCGATTCATAAATCACAAGTTGTGAGTTGTGTTCACCTACAACGTTGTCACATTACAGACAGACTTACCGTGTCAGTGACAGCAGTGAATGATAAAAGTTAGCGCTTTAGCTTTCGCCATTTTTTTTAAATCCATTTTGCTTTACTGAAGCCATTTTTTTTTTTAGTTAGCAAATTAGCAATTAGGTCAATTAGCGAAGCTAACTTTTTAGTTAGCTGTGCCCACCATGTGTATCTGATTGAATCAGTCAGATTTTAACACCATCTTTGTTTCATTCTTTAAACTAAACACAACAAGAGGCAGAAAGAATAGTTTCTTCAGCTGTAGGTTAGTGTGTACAAGTTTTCAAAAACATTTGCAAATCCACCAGATAATACTTCAAATCAAACCTTTAGCTAGCATGTCCTACGTTGATACAAGCACCATAAACTAAACATGAAGATCGACAAACTCTGAGAAAAAGATTAAATGAGAATGAAAGTGCAACACAAAAGTAGTTAATAGAATGTGAGTGTCAGCATGTGTAAAAAGATTGTTGACAGCTTTAGACATGCAATAAACAAATAAATTGATATAAATGATGATGCACCCACCCACCCACCCAAATCTGAAAAGTTTCTGCTTAATATTACAAACAAACAGATAATGTTGAATGAGAATCAAAGTGTTCTGCTCATTTTGTTGTTCAGTTCTACAAACTTAGGCGCTAACATGCTATTTATTTAGCCAGAAGGAGAATTTGAATGCCATTTTACATATTTTTAAACATAAATATAACTTTATAATTCAGCTTTTATGTAAAGGGAGAGCTTTATCTCTTCTAAACTCAGAGTAAAACCTTTGAGAACACAATAATGGACTTGTGGTTGCTACAGATGCAAATACTAAAAGGTCGACAAGACTCAGTCTTTTTGTTTCTGCACTTGCACCAACCTTCCTTACCTTCAGTCCTGTCTTTTCATCATCACTACCATTGTTAGTGGAGGATGGTGTCTCGTCCCCAACCCGGGACACAAGGACAAAGTCCTCACTGTTGAGAGTGGACACTGAGTCTGAGGACACGCTAAACTTCCCCACCGAGCCCTTGTCATCCATGGCTGCCGCTGTTAAATTCAGCCACGCTGCTCATGAATAGAAGACAGAAGGAGGAGGTGGAGGAAGATGATGAGCAAAATCACCTAGAAAAAGGAAAATAAATGAATAAATAAAATGAAGCAGAAAACAGTCGTGATGAGATGAAATCCACGAAAAGCATCTCTGCGAGTGAGCAGAACATTTGCTCACTTTAAAAACTCTACAATATTCTCATTAAGAGGTCTTTGAAACACTTAAAGAAAATTGTTTTGCAAAACCCACAGAAAGATGGCAATGAAAGGGTGAAAATGGATGCTTGGCTTAGTTTTATTGATTAAAAAAATACTATGAAAAAGCAATAAAATTAAATAAATTTAAACATCTGTGGGCATTTTGATGTTCTTTTGTGCATTTGAGCAAAGTAAAGGACGATGCGCTCTTTAATGCAATGTGAAGTAATGCCAATGCAAGTGAAAGTATGCCCTTACATGCATCCATCTAAACTAGGATATTATTTCCGCTTACAAGGTCAAAAGTACATTCAACATACTTGGATGAGCTTAAGCATTCTCCTACTCTGAATATCCAATTTCCCATCAAACTAGCAAAACCACAAATACCACTTTTTTACTGTCAAATCAAGGCTACTGGCAGCCTCTGAAGACATTAAATGGTTTTAGTGCATATCTGTGATAAAACATTTGAGGAGAAAATGGGTATGAGCTCTATCTTTGCTATAAAGACATAAAATGAAATGTGTGACATGAAGAAAGGCTCAGCAGAAGATTCTTACAAATGTTCATGAAGACAACCAGAACTAAAAAAAAAAAAAAAAGCTTATTCTCCCTTATCCTGTGGTCTTGTCATTCAATTTTCTGAAGATTACACTTCCTGTTTCTTTCACCAAACTTTATTCGAAGCAAGACCAACATTGAAAAACAAAAAAGGAAAAAGTCAAAACAATTTACGACATAAAATGCTGTGACTTAGACAAACCTGAAAAATTACATCTCTCATTCTGATGTAGCAAGGATTTCACATTTTGTCATTATAGGAAGTTAATTTATTTTTCCAACACAAATTAAACCTACAACAAGTTTTGCTAAAAAAAAAAACAACGTCCTGGATGATTTTTCCTCCTCTACTACAGTCGACTGTAAAACTGAAGCCGCAACACAATTAATTAATAACAATTAACCTTAGATTGACAAGCAATCAATTAAATCTTCAGCAAATCATATCATATTTTAAATTATACGAATAATGACAAAAATGTGGAAGGTACATCTTTCGTTTTCAGGTGTTTTTGACAACAAGAACCTTAAACAATTTTTAGAGGCAATGTCTCTTTTTTGCATAAACATACACAAACAACACCAGAATTCACTTTCACCCTCAAAAAACTCACAAATAAATAAATACATAAATAAAAATAAACTACAGTTTTGACTATTAACCTATAAATATTTAAAATACAAAGAACTAGGCTGTCAGTAAGATTCATGTTCCAACAAAATGCATGTAATGAAGAAATGACGTGATTTTGACTTGTCTTTCTCCAACCTGCTGTATATTCTTCTTTAAGGTGTATTGTATAAATTTAAATAAGCAAATCAAGCAACGTTTCTTAAACTCTACCTGCATATTAGTTATACAGCTGTGTACAGTGTAAATACAAAACATTGCTAGCATTTAGCAACAAGATTGTTGAGATTGTGAGATGATGGTGGCCCCAACACTCCATCAAGCTGGATGTTCTCTCACTTTACTCAAGACCTCTTAATGTGACAATGAGTTTATGAAGTCTCCTGGAAGTTAATTTCACCGACTTGTTTATGTACCTTAAGAAAAGGCTCGAGACACTTTCTGTGCTTGTTCATATACTGTATACAGTTTTAAGCCGGATTGAACAAACAGCTGTATTATAGACAAAAATATTTGCCCAACAGGCGCACATCTGTATGCAAAGACAACCTAACACTGTCTAACCAGCCAGCAGCTCCAACAGAGTATTAATGGCTGCTTTGTCACTCTGCTTTCCTCCCTGGCCTCAGCAACAGATCTTTGCCTGCTCCTGCCAAGCCAAGCTGTTCCTTATCAGTGCACTTATGCCTTCACAGAAAAATAAATTAAATAAAATACCACAATTTACTGGCAATTACTAAAGGTACTGACTGTTATAGATACTGAAAGGGATTAAAACATGTTTTAAAAAGTTCAAAAATGACTAAAACTGGAGGAGTGAAACGCTACATAACTCATTTAGCTAATTCTCTCGACCTCTGGCAACAAATTGTGAAACATTTTGTTTTGCTGCTCACATGTCTTGCAGTTCCAAAAAAAAAACCATCCCTGGCCTCCTTTCAACAGGTCAGTGCCTGCAGTGATGAGTAAAGAGTACCCGTAACTGTTGTGCCCTTAGAGACTAAATCAGCTTCGCAAACTCCAGTTTATTCTGAATATGAACACAGACAAGGGAAATTTTACAAGTTGGAACAGACAGACCCGCTTCTTAACTGTTCATGACGGACAAACAGAAGCACAATATCATGATCTGCCAAAACAAACAGCTTATGTTGCTGCACATGTAAGGTGCACCAAGAAGCTGCACAGCCTGTTTTGGGTGTTTTGCTTTGCTCACCACACTCCAGCTGAAAAGTCATTTCTGGGATGCCAGCTGGGTCCTCTATGCACCCTGTAAGAGGCATCCACGGAAAGAAACCACTAGTGGGAAGCCTTATAACACAGTTCTTTCCAACATGCCTTGTCTTTCAGAGAGACGGTGGTCAGGGAAAGGCCCTGACTGAACAAACTGTGCATCTAAATTCTGCAAATCATGGAAGAAGGGGAGAAAAACAACGCAACGGCAAAGTGCAAAAGGTTTAAAAAGGACAACGAATGCCTCCTCTGTGAGGGACTGAGCTTCAGTCATGTTGTGGCTTTTTACCAACATTTAATTAGCAGTGATGCAAGAGCAGAATGTGTGTGTAAATGTGCATGCAATTACAACTATTTGGCGCAACGCCCTTTCAAGAAAATTAAATAAACATTTAGTGTCTCTAATATTAACTACCTGGCTTATCTTGCTTTTTGTACCATTTCTTAGGAAAAGTTTTGTTTTTTCATTCCTGCAACTAATCGAGCATTAATCAGAGCCTCGCATGTCACCAAATGTTAATATTAAAAAGACACAAATTACGCATAATACCAAACTTCTTTAAACTGCACTATTCATAGCAATGCAGCAAAAGCACTGCTGGATTAGAACAAGTAGAAGAGGTCAAGAATACAAGTGTACATAGATAACAGTGCATTCCTTCAAATGGGAAGACAATTTTTTAAAAACTGTTATTGTAGCACTGATTTATAACATTAAATAAGTCAACAAATGTAACAATACATTTACGTTATTGGCCTTTGTCAGTACAAGTATTTGATATTATATGTGCTGATTGTTCCACTTTATTATAGCCCACAAAAAGATTTATAGCTTTTGATGAAACCAAGTAAGTCACAGGTTTAATTAAATGCCATATTAGTCATATCAATTAATTATGCTTTAAATATCAGACTGAAGCTCAACAGACTGTTCTGTCAACAGCTGAAGAATTTATCAAACTAAATAAATATCTAATATTCCACAATTTGTCCCACTGGGGCTAAATCTTTAGTTTAAAAAAATCAACTAAAAGGTTTATGCCATGCACAGCAGCTACAATGTCAATCTACTACGCTGGTCAAAATGGGTTGGGAATAACTGGTTATGTGGTGGTTGCTGATGGGAAACAGTTCTTGACAGAGCTTTGATAGCATGTGAAAAAAACTGCATCTATCATGTATTCATCTTTGTTCCCCTAAATGTCTCACTATTTAATGTTTTCTTTTTAGTGACAGTATTGATTAAGACCTTTAACAAACAGATTTGTGTGAATATAAAACTTGCACCAGCAAGTTCCTAAAAATTATTCCTAATAAATTCCTACAATTTAATCATTCATAGCGGCAGGCCCCACTATTTAATTTAAAAAATTTAGACGTCATAAACCTGTAAGCTCCTTCTCAAATCTCTCATTCCATGGGAACATTACATCTTGCCATGATGACTGTACTGGTTTTGTTCTGTGGAAGGTCTGCTTCATGCTGGATAGCCTTCCCGTTCAGAACCGGCACCAAGTGACGCCACTGAGGCTGCAGACCAGAACAAAGACTACCATCAATGGCTGCAGGCCAAGATGCTGGAGCTGGAGCATGTCCAACGGATGTCTGACAGTGGAGGGACAGCCAAGTATATAGCTTAATTATTTAATTGTGACAAAGTAATTGGAAATTAAAATATTTGTAGTAGAAGAGAGCAGTGATTATCCAATAAAATACAGTGAGTTAAGAGTGGGTGTTTTAAATTTCTGTGAAACATCAATAACTGCAGTTAATTAAGAGAATATTTGCACACCCATAAATCTGGCCTTTGTGTTTCTTGTGCAAATGAGCATTTATCATGAGCATTAACTGCAATGAGGCTTAATAATCTGAGGGTAAAGAGAAACAGAGCAGAGTACAACTGGGTGAACTTGTGTGGCTATATTTTACCTTTGGCTCACCGTTGCTGTATCTTTGTTATGCAATGACTAAAATGTTCACTCCACCTGACAATAAGAGGCTCGGCCAGAGAAAAACATTCAGTGGAACTTCTTATTAAGAACAATCGAATGTTCTGACAATAACTTAGCCCACTTGTGTACTGGAAAGCTGTGCAACGTTACAGTAAAACATAGTACAGCGTAAAATCATTTTGATGCTCGACTGAAACTTTAAAATGTTCATTTGAAAATGTCATTTGTGCAGAAAATGTGCAAGCAGAATGTTGCTTTTAGACAGAGAACACAACAAAATATAATTCAAATCATGTATTTGTAGTTATCCGTGAGGTGTATGAAAGTTTCTATGATTGGGTTTAAATAGTAAATTGATTAAAATCGGTTTAATTACCAGAAATGTGAATCTTATTTAGCTCACATTAATGCTAGATACAAAAAACATAACTCGGGATTTTTTAAGACACCATTTGTTAATATG